TAGAGCTGCTGCCCCTCCATATCGAGAGGAGTCAGTTGAGGTAGTTTTGGCATCTTGTTAGGATGCCTCCTGGACGCCTCCCCAGGGAGGTGTTGCAGGCATGCCCTGCCGACAGGGGGCCCCCTGGTCGACCCAGGACATGTTGGAGAAAGTATATCTCCAAACTAGACAGGAAAACCTTGCGGTCCTACTGGAGGAGCTGGTGGAGGTGGCCGGGGAGAGTACGGTCTGGAACTCCCTAGTTGGGATGCTGCCCCCGCGACCCGGACCCAGATAGGCGGAAGAAGACGAGAGAGAGAGACAACGTGAGTACAAAAAACTAGGATTTAGATGTCCCACTAAAACGGAGCAAAGATTACAAAGTTCTTAAAAGACCAAAGTAAGGACCACAAAAGGTCCAAACTCAAAACTGGGTGGTTAAACCAAACTCAAGGCGATATTTTAACCTGAACAAAAAACCCACAGCGCTCCAAATGTAACCAAAAGGCAGTTCTACTCCACACAAAAGATCAACTCTAAACCAAAACATAACAGTTTATCCAAACATAATAAGCTACAAAAATATAGTATAGCTTTACCAACGTTAAGCTCAAGTTACCAATTTTAAATATACCCAGAAAACAGATCAGTGCAGAGGAGAGACTGCTACCACAAAGACAGCTCTCCTCGAATGTCTGAAAGTAGCTCCCTTATGAAGGAAAAACGCTATTACCGGTGATTTCTTTCATCTGCTGTAGAGATGAAGCAGTGGCTTCGACCCTGGGAGTTGTTGTCTGTTTCTGAGCGATGAAGGCGGGCCAAAAAGCAAGGGAATCTGGTAGTGGACATCCTTCGGGATTTTTGGTATTAGGCAGAGATATTGGTGGAGGCAGGGAAGAGGTTGAACTAGAGGAAAAGCAGGCAGAATCCTCCCTACTCCTAACAGACCCCCGGGGACGTAACAAGTGTGTAGACTACCGGATTTGACGTAGACAATTTTTTAGAATCGAGTCGTCAACATCAATGGCGCGTCGCTACAGCACTAGCGTTCGTCCCAGCGCACCACCGCATTGTAGTAGTAAAAAGGTTTCACACATTGTTTATTGTGTCTCAGTGGTTACTATTAATAACAATTAATTACTAATACAAACACCAACATAGGAGAGGTACTGACAGACCTGCTGCACTCTGACGCTCACTGAGGAGGGCTCATATTCCCTAGTACTGCAGGTTTATGATGATGCCACAGGTCTGTAAACAGACTCAAATTCAATAGGACTTTAAGCTTGAGACACTAACAGTTAGAAAACCGCTGTTGTCAGGGCACACAGGCGAGCTGACAGGTGAGTCAGTGTTTCTATGTGTATGAAACATGAAACCTCCCTGTGACTGCTGATGAAGTCTTCCTGCTGCAGCTTCAGTTTCTGAGGAGAGAAAAGGAACCAGCCCTTTCCTTATTTGTAGACGAAACAGGTTAGTAAAGATGGGAGTGCATATCAAGCAAGCCGTTCAGTTTGTTTAAACTGGAACTGGAAAATAATCAGATCTATGAGGGTGGTTCTGTAGCCGTTCCAACCACAAACCAGAGTTTGCTTTCACATGTTCACAAAGTCTCACAAAATAAACTGATCTGACTAGTCACAGGAACGAGAAACTAAACCCCAGCTGAAAGCACTGTAACAGTGGGCGACGGTGGCTCAGGAGTTAAGTACTCGCCGTGTAATCGGAAGGTTCGAGCCCCGCTCAGTCTGTCGCTGTCGTTGTGTCCTTGGGCAAGACACTTATGTTTATGTTTATTTATTTGGCAGATGCTTTTATCCAAAGCGACTTACAATTTACAACCTATAGGGCATGTTGTGATCTGTGGGGGAAACCGGAGTACCCGGAGGAAACCCACGCATGCATGGGGAGAACACGCAACTCCACGCAGAAAGGCTGCAGCCGAGTTTTGAACCTGCAACCTTCGTGCTGCGAGGCAACAGTGCTAACAACTGCGCCACCATGCAGCCCACCTTAACCCCCCTTGCCTGCTGGTGGTGGTCGGAGGGACAGGTGGCGCCAGTGCTCGGCAGCCTCGCCTCTGTCAGTACGCCCCAGGGCAGCCGTGGCTACATTGTAGCTCATCCCCACCAGTGTGTGAATGTGTGTGTGAATGGGTGAATGACTGATTGTGTTGCAAAGCGCCTTGGGGGGTTCCAGGACTCTAGAAGGCGCCATGTCAAATACAGGCCGTTAACCATTTAACAGAACACCTGCTGACATCGTCAATGTAAGATTATTATACATCAGAACCAAATCTGACAGTAGCTGCTTCTGGTACAAGGTTGTTTTTTTTTTTTTTTTTTTTCCTCGTGTCCTGTCTGGCTGTGACGCAAACAGAATTAATGTCTACATATGGAACCCATTAATTCATTAATGGGTTCCACAAAAATAAACAATCAATGATGAACAGGGGTCTGCTTCTAGACCTACAGAAAGGGACACACAACAATACAACAGGAGCAAGCTATCACTGCGTCAACTTGATGAAGAAATATGAAATCAACATTGTTTTACTGAACAATCACACGATAATAAAACACAGTGCATTAAGTGCCAACCACAGCCTTAAGACATGTGTGTTGAACGTGCCCAAGTCCATACTTATAAGAGCACCATGTAAGCACCTGTGTCTGCACAGCGCTTGTATATGTAAGGTTTCTCTATAGGAGCGTCCAATAGAGTGTGAGAGGCCACAGATCTGCCCCCCAAAGATGTGTAGGAGATGGAAGGAGCTCCGTCTTGTACAAGGTTTAAGCAAGATCAGGCAGATTAAAGTGAGTTTAATATCGTCACATCTAGATAAGTTATTAATCCTGACAGTCAGGTGTGCACAGGAGACAGACACAAGAGACGAGTAGCAGATAGAAAAAAGGGAGAAGAAGAAAGCTGAATTACCAGAGCGACCACACAGCCAGCACCAGCTGCAATTACCCAAGACCAATTGGGGGCAGGTCTCAGCAGCTCCAGAAACCACAGCCATTGGCAGAACGGCCTGACATGCAGAAGGAAGGGGGTGGGCTGGGGGGAGAGGGAGGAGCTAAACAGGAGGTTGAGGATGAGGAAGAAGAGGCAGAAAAAAGAACAAGTGAGTCAATCTAGAAACAGCAGCAGCAGCAGCAGAAGAGTCACATGTCAGTAAACAGCTAAACTTGTGGTTACCATAGTTACTGTGTTAGCCAACCTCATGATTACCCTGGTTACTGTGTGAGCTGACCTTGAGGTTACCACGGTTACTGTATGACATGCTTCACCTACATCAGTCTGAGGACACAACAATACAGCATCTAGACACACTAGCCCAAAACCAAAAGAGCAGAACATCAGACGGAGCTGTTACAGGTGGAGTGGGCTGGATCTTAAGGCTGCAGGTACAGGTGTGATCAGTGAAACACTGAAGAAGATGTGCGAGCTCAATACTGATTCAAAAGAGTCTGTGTTCAGGTTACCTGTAGACAGGTGTAAACTGATCCCTGGGCTACCATCAGGTGAACAGGTGAGCTCATTTACCTTCAGGTAAACATCCCCTCCCCCCTTAATGCTTTGAATAACTTAAATGTGCTTTGAATAACTTAAATGTACTTTGAATACCTTAAAGGTACCAACTGTGCTTGAAATGACAGAAATGACGTTCAGTGGCAGCAAGACAGAATCCATGTGTGTAAATGAGAGGAACAAGTGGAACAAATGCAGAAAATAGGACTAAAGCCTTTTTTCCAGGAGCACTACTCAGCCCAAAACAGCTCTATACAGCATAGTTTGAATCAGCCCATCCGAGTGTAGTTTTGTTCCCATGCCAGGGTCATGACAGAAAAAGGGTGCGCCCCCTCACAGCTGCAGGAGGAGGGGGTGCGGCAGTTGCAGGGGGGTGGGCGATTTTTACTCATGACAAAATAACATGAGGTGATCAGTAAACAGTGTGAGGTAACCTGTATGCTCCACAGAAACAACTCAGCTGAAAAATGTTGGTGTTGCTGGACACTTTGCTCAGTTGTATGGCTTTTTGTCAGACTCGGAACCAGGAAATGGGTGCAGGCAGTGAAACAAGGCAAAAATAAAAATAAAAATAAACTCCGCAGCAACCAGTGACTCCGCCCCAAGCCAATCAGCGGCCAGAATCACAATGCCGGGCCGACTCAGCCTTGCCAGGTACCTCAACGGAGCAGGGACTAAGAAAAGGGGAGAAAGTAGAGGGAAAATACCGAACCGTGCCCTCGGAAACAGCGGTCGGGCCGAGCTGCATCGGTCCGAGTTGCTCTGAGTAACGTTCCTGGAAAAAGAAGCTTAAGTAGAAGACAGATGACTGGCTGTGGCGACTCCTTAAAGCAGGGGTGTCAAACTCCAGTCCAAAATGCAGTCCACTTAATTCTGGGTGTCAGATGACCAAAGCTGCAAGAGCAGAGCTGCAATGATTCGCCGACATATTTGACAATGTTGGCTACAAAATATTGTGGACACAGATTTTTATTGTTGACACATCAACAGATCCTTCAATCAGCATTTATCCCGATAAATCCCTGGTTCACTCTAGGAATCATCTGTAACACCAACGATGCACAGGTGGTTCAATCCTCTCAAATCCAAGCGTGGAGTGATGTGCGAGGCTCACTTGCATCCGCAGGCAGCCACTGTTAATCGATGCTAGATAAATGACAATGGAAGGAAAGGCCACAGCCCTGTTCTTCTCCCAGACGGAGCAAAAATTATTAATTCATGCCTACAAGGACTACAAAGATATCACAACTAAAATGGAGACCACCAGCTGTTTGATTAAAGCTGTGTAGCACGGATAGAGTTATAGTAAAAAGGAGGATCTTCACCATTTTCATTTTTGAGTGTTTAACCTTAGAATAAACTAACTGTTTGAAATTCATTAGAAGGAAGCCAACAATTTAGATAACAATTGACTACTGGATTAATGTGAGAGAAGGCTGATTAGATTAGATTACTCTTTACTCCATCCTGGTAACGTAGAGGCATACCTGGTTGATGACATAGACCCCATACTCCAGCTGCTGCCTCTGCAGGATGGGATGTAGGTAGTACAGCCAGAACTTCAAGTGCTCATCCCGCTTACGAAACGGGATGATGATGGCAACCTTCTGCAGTGCTTCACAGTCTTTGGGTTTGAAGCGTCCACCCAGCTGCACATTGGGATTTTCATCTTTTATCTGCTCCAGGCTCACTGGATTGTTAAACTCCACCCGCAGAGGACCCACTGAAAACAACAGACGAAAACAAAAGAGTCTATCAGGTCTACAAGACTCTTCCTCATCAAACTATAGGGAGGCCCATTTGTGACACCATTGTTTATGTTTCTCGTATTGCATCAAAGGTTTGGGTTGCAAGGAAAATCGTATGTTGCCTATAGTTCAATTGTTTTGCACGTTTGGAGGATTTAATGACGCAGATAGATCATTCTTGCTGTGTTCGGCCCAAAGGAGGCTAAAAACGTTTTACTGGAATTTCCTCCGTAAATTATTGAGACCATGGTTCTTATATAACCTACAGCCACAGAGCTGCTACGCAGTACTTTTCTGAAATACGTAGCATTGTTCTCGTTAGCCATTGGCTAAAACCGACTCAAAATAAACATGTTCTATACTTTTTAGCTGAAGATGGCGCTAGACTGACTTTTTAGACAGAATTTAGAGTTTTCAAAGAAAATGCAGCTAAATGCAAAAATAATAACTACACATGTCTACAACACCATTAGACACTCATTTATACGGTGGCCCTGAAGTGCAAACCACATAAACAAATCACTTAACACAACAACAAATTGAAACACGCAACAAATCACTTAATGCAAAAACAAATCACAAAATTGAAAAGTACAACAAATTGAAAAGCCTAACAACAAATCACTAAACACACAACAAATTGAAAAGCGCAACAACAAATTCACTAAACACAAAAACAAATCATTAAACGCACAACAAATTGAAAAGCGCAACAACAAATTCACTAAACACAAAAACAAATCACTAAACGCACAACAAATTGAAAAGCGCAACAACAAATTCACTAAACGCAAAACCAAATTGAAAACCACAAAAACAACCACAAACTGGAAAAGGTAGGTACCAGTGCTGCAACAGCAGGAATCACTCCACCCGCAGAGGAGATTGGATGATGGATCCGTTGGCCTTTTGAACTGGAAGTTGTTCTGCCGAACGTGGTTATTTATCCATTTTCTTCTTCAAAACTTTATTGAACAAGGTGCCGAACGTGGTTATGTGAAAGAGCAGTCAGCGGGTGTGTCCGAATCCACAGGCAGGATGCTTATGAGTACGGGTCCTCGCCGGTCTAGCAAGGCCGGGTCCTTGCCAGACCGCTAAGACCAGAACCCAGCGGCTCTGAATTCGGACAGTCTAGCCTTCACCTCTGCGATGGCCCGTAGGTCCCGTCACAGCCGCGGCGGCAACTACCCGCAAAGGAAAAATGCTAAAGCTAGCGAAAATCGAGCAGGAATATTAAGGAGTTACAGCAGCTTCATGTCCATCAGCAGCGTTTGTTCACAAATGTTTTCAGGTAAAGTAACTTTGTTTATTCTAGAAGCTTTCAGGACTTACATGTTAACTTTAGATGGTTTCATGTATGTTTTAAGCTACAGAATGAACTTGTTAAACATACACAACACATTACTACAGAGTATTATCATGTAGGTAATTAATATAAACCAAATGCATTATAAATGCCGTAGAAACCTAAAAAGTAGGGCCGGGACTTTAATGCGTTAATCACGACTAATTAATTAGAAAAAATAACGCGTTAAAAAAATTAACATATTTCACTGCATGGTGGTGCAGTGGTTAGCACTGTTGACTCGCAACACGAAGGTCGCAGGTTCGAAACTCGGCTGCGGCCTTTCTGCGTGGAGTTGCGTGTTCTCCCCATGCATGCGTGGGTTTTCTCCGGGTACTCCGGTTTCCCCCACAGATCACAACATGCCCTATAGGTTAAAAAAATAAAATAAAAATAAAATAAAATTAAATTAAAAATTAAAAAAAATAAAATAAAATTGTAAGTCGCTTTGGGTAAAAGCGTCTGCTAAGCACATAAACATTATAAACATTATTATAAACATTAATCGCAGCTTGCATTTCAAGCACGGCGGAACCTTTGTCATTGCACGATTTCCTCGTAGACTGAATATCACTGACGCACACAACAATGCACAGTGCTAATGGCTACTGTAGCGTTATGAAGCTTATAATGGTCTGCCCTTAACAGCTGCCCCTTCACACAGTAACATCGCCAAGGTCGGACGCTTGGTTCAGTATGTTTACATTCCAGGAGAAGAGACAGAAGAACAGAAGAAGAACGCTTTTCATTAATTAATCAAAGTACTTTATTTGTGATAAGCTAATCAAAGCATATGTTGATCATTAATAATCAGGTGAATGATCTGTGAAATAAAGATGTCATGAGTTATGTGTTTAAATGAATAAACAGGACTGCACCAGACAGACTGATCTACATTACCATGGAAACGCATGACACATTGTTTTCAACCAATCAGAACTTTCGTCTGTCGTAGAGAGAATCTGGGATGTTTACTTAATGTGTCCAATCCGGTTTACTAAGATTCATAAACAACTGGGAGATATAAAAAGAAGGCAACACCATTTTAAGTTCAGTTCCACGTTAAGTTCCACGTTGACATCAGCTCTGTTCGATCCGAGCTCCAAGGAGTTACATCATACTCTCAACCTTGTTTTCAACCAGCTCTCAATCCATCACCGCAAATAGGAGTACAGGCTGGCCAGCTGTATTTCTTGTTTTAAGCTGAGAACTGTTCAAGCTGGAGATTTCCATCGGTTGTACCAACGAGACAACGTTCCTTCAAAATAAGAGTGAACTTGCTGACGCCTGCCGACTACTACCGGAGTCATCCTCAGACGGGCTTTGTAGTGCTGCGACCGCTGTTTCACCAGCTGCAGTACAACCGAGGGTCCCAGGACCTGGCATTTCCTGATCTACACGGGTGACTCCATATACGGTAACGTGGTCATGGCAATATGGCGGCTCATGTCATCAGCTTCTGAAGCCTCGTGGTAGCCTAGTCATAACAAACCAGATTCGCTACGTCAGCCTAGAGATTCTGAACAAAACGCACACACACACCAACACGAAACATCTAAATCCATATGCATTCATCATTGAGATAGTCCTGGTAGATTGTAAGAATTTATAATTATAGAAATTAAAGATTCTTAAACAATCCCAACTCTTTCTCTCTTCTTGTCTCTCAGTCAATACAGAGTGTTTAAGTAAACTCCCTGATGATAAAAACAACCACTTCTGATTGATTACTTAGATTTAATTCCAGTGTATAAATATACAAAATCAGATAATTAAATTATCTAATTACAATATATTAATATACAACTTCAAATCATAACACTACTAAAACGGAATAAAAACAGAGAAGTTGCCTTGCTCGGACTGATGCAGGATTTAGGAAACACGTCCGCCTCTTTTCTTAACTTGGAAAAAAAAAACTTCCAGACAACAACAGAGTCCATGTCGCGGACATTTTTCAGAGATCGTCTCTGCTGCAGCTGCCCGGTGGCAACGGGAACTTTACAAAAGTTGCGGTAAGCTATATTTTTAACATTTACGTAACATCTGTGCAGCGCTGAAAGTAGTCAGACAGAATAATTCTTTGCCCTAACAGTAGTTTATGAAAGTAGTCAGACAAACCAGAGGCACCTGGCTGCCGCTGGGAGAACGCTCCGTGTTCTCACTTCTCTGTAAACAATCACAAACAACGTGTCTTAAAGTTGAAAACAGAAGTTAAAGTTAAAACAGAAACACTCTGAAACTTTTCTGATGATTTTCTAAACAATTCTGTCGGGGAATTATATGTTTCTGAGACGAGTCTCTGTCTAAACATCACATGCATTACTATCATTAAGCAGCGAGGTGTGTGAAGCTGTCATCAGCTAAGGGGCGGATGCTTAAGTGTATCAGGGGCAGCGAGGAACGAGAAAGTTGTGATCAGGCTGGAGATCACACCAGATTCACTGCTGCAGGCGTGAATCTGCGGGTCTGCGGCTTCCCCTTCTTAACGTGACATCAGGACTTCCCATGCAAGGAAGGTCCGCTCACCTGTTCGTCAGATCATTATTTCCTCGCCATGATCTTTTATCTTCCCATCATCCTCCAGTCATCCAACTGGAACCAGTTAGTGTTCCTGATCATTCTCAGAATATGCCATGCCTGCTCTGGTGTTAAAAGTTAGTACATTTAAGTCCTAGGTCATATTTGTGCCTGTTCTACTGTCATTTTGAAGGATTATTATTTATGTGTTTTTACTACATTATGAGTAGAAATGCTAATAAAAACTCCCAATTATACAAACAAGTGAAACTGGAAAAATTTGAATCTGGTGCAAAGTCTAATTTATTTCAGTCATTCAACTAGACAGAGAGACCATTTAAAGGCTCAGGAATCCTTTGCAGGTGTTTTCTATTTGTAATTATAAATTTTAGTTTATTTGGGTTTTGTTTCATATCACACAGTGAATTAAAATGCATTTTTTTATTAAAAGCTTTAGTTTACAGTAATAACCATGTCTAATGTTTGATTCTCTGTCTCATAATTTTAATTAAAAGTTTTACTTTGAGAGCACATTTTCCTGAACGATTAAAATGTGATTAATTGAGATTAATTAATTACAAAGCCTGTAATTAATTAGATTAAAAATTTTAATCAAGTCCCAGCCCTACTAAAAAGCTTAAAGCGGTTCAGTTTATAGACATTTTTCATTTGTATATTTGTTTTTAAAATTACATTTTAGGCAGAAATCACCCAGAACGAGTTTGTTTTGCAGGTCCCAGTTATTCCCGTGTGTGTGTGTGGGTGGGTGTATGTGTGTGTGTGTGTGTGTGTGTGTGTGTGTGTGTGTGTGTGTGTGTGTGTGTGTGTGTGGCGAATTAAACTTGTCATTTGTTTTTAAGGACAACGGAGCAAAGAAGCATTTTTATTAAGCTTAGAGGTGAAGAGTGAAGCTGTTTACACACACAACCACAGTAGTTGTGCTGTGAAAAGTAGTTTTACATTCAGGGATTTACACAGCTGACACGTTTTAATGAAGTAAAAGTGTTTGTGTGAAGAATAAAAGTTTTATCTTCTCATGTGGATAAATGTAAAAATGTGTTTATTACCTTTTTGTCACCTGTGGTCTCTGATTTTCTCTGTTTAGGACTGCAGGTGTCCAGGGTTAGGAGAGGCTTTACCTGTTGGTCATCCTGGGAGAGAGGCCTTCTACTGTCATCATGTTAATGTTATTTAGCTGTTTGATATTTGAACACAAATATGAAAACAAATACTAATAACTTTCTGGTCATTGGTTTTATCACCAATTTTATTAGATGTTTTTGAACATGTTACATGAACAGATAATGAAAAGATGGTAAGGAGACAAGATTGTTTATAATATGTTACACTTATTTACAGATCAAAACCAGTATGGACCAGTTATGTATGGTTAAAGCAGGATTAACCTGAGTGACTTCCTGGATCATTTATTCAAACTGAGTGAGCAGGAAGTCTTTAACAGTGCAGCTGGATCTGCTGCAGGAGGATCCAGACGTGGATGGAGGGCTGGAGCAGAACCGTGGCTAGGTGTTTCTGGCCAGAGGAACATCATACAGGACGGTCTGCACAGAGAGCTTTGGGACGCTTCCTCTCACTGTACACCTCATCGTCCATCTACAGGGCCTGCTGGGCTGGCTCAGACGGCTGTTGCATCTCTATGAATGACTTGCCTGTTAACAATAGCGGTGGTCTGCTGGTACCTCCTCCAGGACAGAGCACCACTGACCTCCTCCACACACATCTTCCTCTCGCTCATCCTCCAGACCCACAACTTCACCAGCACAGAGGCAGATGTGCAGCACAGTGCATGCTGACTTGTAATAAATAGATTAAAAAGAGGTTTATTATTGAAAAATGTAAAACAAACATATAACCTGCAGTACACTGGTTCTGTTCAGTTTAAGAAAAGCAGCAGGGAAAACTACAGAGAATTTACATTTTTAAGACAGATCTAATCATTATTAGGCTTAAGTTGAATTAACAAATGCACATTGAAAACAGTTCAATGCCATTTTATTAAAAAGCCTGTTTTTTAAAACATTTTACCCCCATTTGATGCAAAATAAGTTCTAAGGTCTAATTTACATTAGAAAACATCCTACTGCATTTATCATTTATAATGCATTTGGTTTATATTAATTACCTACATGATAGTACTCTGTAAAAATGTGTTGTGTATGTTTAACAAGTTCATTCTGTAGCTTAAAACATACATTAAACCATCTAAAGTTAACATGTAAGTCCTGAAAGCTTCTAGAATAAACAAAGTTACTTTACCTGAAAACGTTTGTGAACAAACGCTGTTGATGGACATGAAGCTGCTGTAGCTCCTTAATATTCCTGCTCGATTTTTGCTAGCTTTAGCATTTTTCCTTTGCGGGTAGTTGCCGCCGCGGCTGTGACGGGACCTACGGGTCACCGTAGAGGTGAAGGCTAGACTGTCCAAATTCAGAGCCACTGGGTTCTGGTCTTAGCGGTCTGGCAAGGACCCGGCCTTGCTAGGCCGGCAAGGACCCGTACTCATAAGCATCCTTTCTGTGGATTCGGAAACACCCGCTGACTGCTCTTTCACATAACCACGTTCGGCAGAACAACTTTCGGTTCAAAAGGCCAACGGATCCATCATCCAATCAGTGATGCCTGTTGTTGCAGCATTGGTACCAACCTTTTCCAGTTTGTGTTTTTGTTTTTGTGATTTTCAATTTGGTTTTGCGATTTGTTTTTGTGTTTAGTGAATTTGTTGTTGCGCTTTTCAATTTGTTGTGCGTTTTGTGATTTGTTTTTGCGTTAAGTGATTTATATTTGTGGTTTGCACTTCAGGGCCACCGTACATTTATACTAGTTATCAGCTAAAAAAAAGTTGATTTTGATGTGACTTGCTCTTTAAATAGGAATAAATATCTCCTCAGCAGATTTGTGGGAAAAACAATGCAAATCAGACCAACGTTTTTCGTCATCCCAGAGCTCATACAAGCTTCTAATATCTTCAAATTTATCTTCAATACAGCTTTTAAGCTTTTCTCCAAAACTCCCCCTGTCTTTAGACATTAAAGTGTTCATAAATCTGGGATTTCGCCCGCAAACCTTCCTGAAAGTGTACATTGTGGGCCATATTGTGTGTGTAGCACATGAACGTCACCAACCTGGACACATATTTTCATTTTTTTATGATCATATTTATTGACATGGGAAATATTTTCAATTTATTGCCCAGCCCTTATGTAAACAAAAATCCTCCTATGACCTAAGGTAACCTGCAGTGTTTCCCAACAGCTGCTTGACCTTTAAGGGTCACCGGGATCTGGACCCAGAACTTCTTCAGGACTGGGACCCTCAGACACACCTGGATCTGCATAAACCTTTTCTTCATTAAAGTTCAGGAGTCAGCACTCAAAGATGCTAAGCTGATTGTGTGACCTTAGACTTTATAGCTTATTCTGATTGGACGGTGACTCAATCACAGATACAACTGTCCAGTCAGAGAGCAGATCCTTTCCTCCTCAAACAATTGCTAACTCAGCTAGAAGCAAAAGTTTTCTTATCTCATGCTTCCAGATATCGAAATGGGAAACTCTGGAATGGCATCAGACTGAGTTAATCTTTATGCTGTAAAATGTCAACAAGTTTCACTTGATTTCATTTTAATAAAAACAGGTCAGAACCCATAAACAGGAACTATGACTGAAGTCAGATTCACATCTGGTCAGGGTCTGTTTCAGGTTTCAGATTGAAGTCTGATTATTTTTTACTGGCAGACTTTAACCTGCATGACAGAATTACTACCTTGCACACCTGTGAGTGGTGGAACCCTTCACAACACCTGAGAAACTGTCCTGTGGGAGCTTTTGTTCTCTGACACAAACACCTCATTAAGTCCTCTTCTCGCTCTGTTCATTCTTTAGTTTTCCTGCCGAACCTGTAGAGAAACTCCTCAGAAGAGTCCGGCTCCTCTGTTCACCTCAGAGCTGAATGTTTTAAAACAAACAAAAAAAGTAACCCGGAAGCCAGACTAAATAAATATATTGTTTAGCAGGAATTTGGTTTAGCTCACTAGGCTAAAGAAAAACTGCATTCTGCACAGAACAGCATCCTGCATACCTAGAATAGAACAGCTTCAGGAGTCCAGACTGGCAAAATGTATCCATGCTGCTTTAGGCAGCTGAAGGACATACTGACCACATCTCCTCATTCTTCCTCTTTTCTCTGTTCACCCATGTTTGCATGCATTGCCATATTTTGCTTCTATTAACTTCTTTAAAAACTATTAGTCAAACTGCTCTGGTTCTAAGTAAAGAGAACTGATGATAGAAGTAGAACCAGATGTTGGTTTTCATTAACTGTTTGCTTTGATTGCTGATAAAAGCGATACAGCAGGTGGGTCCACATGGTCTGTGGGTTCTTCGTCGTGAAGAACAGAGCAGTCTGACACAACCCCTCCCTCTGAGTGAGGGACAAAGGTCACGCGAGTTATCACTGGTTACGCCCACTAATGAAAAGAAAACTGGAAAATAATGACAGTCTTGAAAACAGAACATGTAGGTCCAATTGAATCAAGATAACCAGGACTTTATCCTGCCTTTTTTCTCTCCATTAGGAGGAGCGTGGGGTTAAGTCTTACCCAGTAAAGGAGAAGTTTCCGGACATTTTTCCAGGCTCTTCCTCGGTTCTGTTACAGACTTCTGGCCTGGTTCACTCTGCGGTGCCGCAGTACCTTCTTCATTCTGCGTGTTCCATTCGGTTCTGGAGGTGCTGACTGTGTGTGTGTCCAGTCCGGACTGGGTCGTGTTGTTGTGAGACTGGCGCTTGTGGGGGAAAGCGAGAGGGATGTCGAATGAGCGGACGTAGAAGAAGACGGTGACAGCTATGTGGAAGAAACAGAGCAGGACCACCAGCTTGCAAATTCGGTGTAAGAGGCTGAAGTCAGCGGGCATCCTGACGGAACAATTCCAGACTGAACGAGTCGAACGGCTGTTTCCTCCGGTTCCCCGCTGACTAGCTGCATCCACGGTCCATGCCTGGTGGTGTCGGCGGAAACTTTACAAGTTTTCGTCTCACAGTTTCCGTTGAACGACACAGGCAATGTTCCGAGATAAATAAATAAAAAACTCGGTGAAATAATGAGCAGGAACACAACCCTTTAGAAGCTAACCATTAGCTCCCTGTCCGCCCAGGTTTACAGTAACGGGAAGTTAACGACTCAGTAACGGAACCCCCCCACTCTTCGGCAAAATGGTTCCTCTCAAACGGATCCGAAGCAACACCTACAAAGTTCTCACAACGTGTCAGAAAACCCGTTAGACTCGCGGTTGGCCTAAAAGAACTTCCTTCAAGTCGCGGAGAAAAAACTTTACTGTCTGCGGAGACCCCAACTGTCCAAATGACGCAATAATGCACAACACGTCCGGTTTGCGCTTTCAAAATAAAATCTTATAGAAAACCAACTTTATCTATACAGACCACTCATCGAGACAACTTCAATGTATTAGAGGCATTTATTTGTCTAATCCAACTCATCTTATTCAAACGGATGGGTTGTCACAGGGCTTCTGCAGAACTTGTTTGAGTACCGTTATTTCATCTTACCTGTACAATATTCTACTTCTTGGAATTGGACAAAAACTCCAGAATAAAGACATCACGATTCCAGTCCTCCATCCGCTCTGGCTCTACACCTGACACCACCTGAACTTCACTTCCCAGCATTCACCTCACCGGTTTCCGCGGTTTTTGTCAACAGTCAACACTCCTCTCTGCTCTACTACGTTGAGGTTGAGCCAAGGTGAGGAGTCCTGCCAGAGTACTTTGACTTGACGAAACCTAACGTGCTGTGTAGTGGCCCTCGAGATCTGATTTTGGTGGCCACTGATTTCATCAGAAATGTTACATCTTTACATCTCAGTGAATATGATTTCACTGGTTCATCAGTGTAATAAAAATGAACTTGTCATCTGTTGTATAATTGCTTTATACAAGTTATTGATCACTACTGTTTGTCAATCACACTTATCATGAGGATGTAATCAAGGAGAGCCGAACATAATGTGATCATGAGGATGTAATCAAGGTAATCCTGGTGGAGGTGTGCAGCTTTGCACGCACATCAGGGAATGTATAAGGAGCAGAGCAGAGCTCAGAGCTGTTAGAGCTGCTTGTTGGATTCTACCTGACGAGGTTCATGGATTACATTTTCTAACTGGGGTGTTCAGCTCTCCACCCATAAGCAACGGTAAGAGAAATGTTTCGTTCATGATTGATAACTTGTATGAATGCCGGTTGAATAAAGCCTTGTTGTTCATCTGATATTCAAGTTGTGTTTCATCGTTTCTGGCGTCGACTTGACAACGATCCTGATTAAATAAATATAAAGTGTAAAAAGAGACTTTGAGTCTTTTAAGGTAATTAAAATAAAATAAAACATTTTATTTTAGAACATTTTTGGCGTCACGAACAGGATCAGTCAAGCTATTCCAGCAACAATGAAGTGTTTTTGGAGAAGCAAAAAGGAGCCGAGAGCTTCTGGGGAGGGAACGCCGATTCCCGTGCCGATTCCCGGCTGGGAAACGGAGGAGTTCCGAACCATTGGTGATATGTTAAGGCAGCGCGGTGGACGCCCTGGGCCGTGGGGAGAGTTAAATGGAGTGGTCAGCCCCGCCGTGGTGCTGGACCGTTTGACGCGGATAGAAGTTAAAAAAAAAGCGCCGCTGGCAGGAGTGAGAGATATGATGTGGCTTTTTGCAGAAGCATGGAAAAAACAGGAGTTAGAATTGAGCAGTTGTAGAGAGCGAGCGGCGCAGGAGAAAATCCATGCTGAAGAAGTTGAAAAATCATGCTCAGAGTTTGAGCAGAGAGTGTGTGTGATGGGGAAAGAGCTAAAGCATGCTCAGAATGTTTTGGATAAAACGCTGACTTTTGTGTCTCGAGCGCAAAGGAAGGAAAAGAAGCGACCTCGTAGAGCAGGTCCTGCTCAGATCCGGGCGTTTGTAAAGAATGTTGGTGAAGATTGGAACCCAGAGAAATGGAACGGGGATCTTTGGGGGGATGATGAGGAGGAGGAGTGGGCGATTAAACCTGACCCACCACCTCAGCCCTTGTATCCATCATTACAGGGGATAAAGATGTCAGAACAAAGACCTATTACTAGGCGTCGGCGAGAACAGCAAATTATTCCACCAATACTGGTAGATATGGTGGATGATCAGGGACGGCCGGAACTCGATGAGGCGGGTAATATAAGAAGGATGTTACAACAGCAGCCACAACCCGCCCCTAGGCTGCTAACAACGCTAGAGGATTATTCACAAGATGAGTTAAATCACATGAATGGGAAGCTGAAACAGCGCCCAGGCGAACCAACTGACTCCTGGCTTAATCGCCTTATGGAGGATGGCGCGTGTGATATAGCCATAGATGCCGGTGATGCCATGAGATTTTCAGGATTAAGTACTGATGCACAGATAAATGCTGAATACAGGGCTACAGTCCGGGCATTGCCAGCTGATGAAGATTTCAATGTGGGGGATGCATATGCTCTGGCATGTCATGTAATCTATCCTACCACGGCGGACTGGTCTGAGATTAAAGGGCAATGGCAGACAGTGAGAGATGCCATTCAGCGGCTCACCAGACTCACTATTAGAGAGCAAGTGGCTCGAAACGGGGGAGCTGGAGTGGTGGACTGTAACATCTCTAAGGCAACTAGAGATCACCTCATCAGACATGCCCCACCACATTATAAACCCATGGTGACCAGCTTGTTGTTTGGCGCGGCAGACCAGACTTTTGCCGCGATAAAAGATCGTCTTGGCGAACTCACCACGCTGGGTGATTGGTCTGAGACGAGGAGAGAGGGAGCTAGAACTGAAAATAAACCCAGGATTGATCCACATTCAAGGGGTCGTAAAGGGGGGGCAATGGGCCCCTCTAGAACAGATCTGTGGAGGGCACTGCGACAAGCGGGAGTGCCGTTTGAGGAGATTGATGGATTGCCCACTAATGCATTGATGGAGAAATGCAGCCAAATGGGACTGAAGGTCCATTGTCAGTTCAGACATTGTCCTGAAAAGGACGACAGGATGTCTGTGTCAGAATTGGTTGGAATGTTGCAGAATGTGATCAGGGAGGTGGCGTCGAAGCCTGCTGAACCTTCCGCCCCTCCCAAGGAATCTTCAGAGGAGGAGAGTTCAGATGAGTGTTATCAGGTGGCGGCAGTGAAGCGTAGAAAGAAAAAACAGCACCGAAGGGAACATGATGATGAATAGGATGAAGGTCAAGCTCAGGTTGTTGCCAGTGCCTCAGGATGGTCAATAAATGATATCAGACCACATGTGGAATTACAGATTTATTGGAAAAAATCAGTACAGACAGTAATGGCATTGGTTGACACTGGGGCGGAGGCCTCGGTAATTCATGGCAATCCTGATAAAATAAAGGGAAACATTGTAGAAAAAGGAGTATCAATGCTCCACGAGCAAGTGGCAGACGTTCCAGAAATGGATGAAGTGCCTTTTGAGGTAAAACCAATCCAGGATTCTCCTGTGAAACTGGGGGTAAGATGGAGCGAACTCACCCCAGAGCAGCAGGAGCGAGCCTGGTTCACTGATGGTTCCTGTCAATATGTGGCAGGAACCAGGAAATGGAAGGCTGGGGCATTTAACCCTGGTACACAACAAGTTATGGAACTCACAGGGACAGGAAAGAGTAGTCAATGGGCGGAGTTGAAAGCAGTACACATGGTAATAATGGCGGCTGGGGTGCAGGGAGTAAGTATTTATACTGACTCCTGGTCAGTAGCCCAAGGAATGTTAACTTGGATGCCAACTTGGCATGCTACACAATGGAAGATACATTCAAAAGAGGTTTGGGGAGCTGACCTATGGAAGGACATTTGGGAGAAATGCCAAAATATTCCTGTGTCAGTATTACATGTGGATGCTCATACTAATAACAATGATCCTGAATCCCTGCATAATCAGACTGTAGATAAGATAGTGAAAATTCAGGCTGTAAGACAATCAAGTCCTGGATTAGCCAAATGGGCTCACGTTACTGCTGGACATTGGGGTGTGCAGGGAACATTGAAATGGGCGAGGGACAGAGGAATAGATCTCATCATTGATGATATTAAAACTGCCATAGAAGATTGTGAACCTTGTCAACATCAGAAAAAGAGAATCCCTCGACATATACAGGGACAGATACATCGAGGTAAACAAGCGGGACAGTGTTGGCAGATTGATTTCATTGGACCATTGCCAAAAAGTAAAAACTGTAAGTATGCATGCACAGCCGTGGATACGGTGTCAGGGGTACTGGTGGTGCATCCGTGTCATAACGCCAATCAGGAGGCTACATTGAAATGTCTGTCATTAATAGAGACCTATTATGGACTACCTTTGCAGGTTCAGACTGATAATGGTACCCATTTCACTGGAAATAAGATCAAAGAATGGGCAGAGAACAACGCGGTAGAATGGATCTATCATGTAGCATATCACCCGAAAGCTAGTGGACTCATTGAGAGAATGAATGGGTTACTGAAAGAGAAACTAAGGAAACTATCGGTTACTAATTCTTTGGACAAATGGAGAGAAAATCTGACTAGGGCAGTACATCAGTTAAATAACAGACCCGTGGGGGATGGAGTTACTCCACTGATGCTAATGGTTGCCAGGGCAGGAAGGGAAACAACTTCTACTGACCCTCCTATACGAATGTGGAAACTAACTTCTGAGGCAGAACTCCCTGTTAGAGCAACTGCGGGCTCTGTGGGATTAGATCTTAAAATCTTGGAAAGCATCACTTTAGTAACCAATAAAGTGACAGTGGTAAAAACAGGATTGGGAATTCAATGTCCACCAGGAACTTATGCTCATGTGTGTCCAAGAAGTGGTTTAGCTTTGAGGGGTCTAACCATTTTAGCTGGGGTAATAGACTCAGACTATCAAGGGGAAATAGGTGTGGTGTGTCAGCATACAGGTAAAGAACCGTTGGTACTGGAAAAAGGAGACAAGATAGCTCAGTTAGTAATCAAACGGTGTGTAATGTCCAAAGTTGAAGAGATTACTAAACCTACCACTATCACTCAGAGGGGTGAAACTGGGTTTGGATCATCAGACTTTACTGCGGGGGCAAAAGTGTGGGTGGAGCAGCTCAATGGTCCTCCCAGAGCTGGAGAGATTATTGCACAGGGAAAAGATGCTGTGGTAAGTGTATTGTTCCCCGGAGAGGAAAAATGGATTAATATTCCGATAAACAAATGTTACAGGAGAGAAAATTAATGCTTGTCATTCTATCTGCAGTTTTGTATGTATCCCATAGGCGGGTGTCTGAGTGACGGTGGTTGACTGGGTCCCCTTCCCCTACAAAAGGATTGAACCCTTGTCGAGGCGAT